CTCTCTCTCTCTCTCTCCCTCTCCCTCCCTCCCTCCTTGTCCAAATGTCGGTTCCACAAGAAGACAATCAGTCAGGTAGGTTTCTGAGAAGAGGAGCTTCCTTTTGTTGGTTGTGATGCAGGACAAGAATGAAGAGGAAATACCCTGGCATCATACCCATGCCCTGATAGAGGGGCGAGTGGCAAGCCAGATCTTCATGAGGAAGGTTTGCTCAGACTTCATCAGATAACAAAATCATAATTATTTTTTTCTAGTCTGTTCTGATATCATCTCTCTTCTCCCTGGATAGGTAATGAGGTAGGAAGAGGAAAGGGGCCTGGAAAGGGTCTTGATTAGACATTGTTAAGCACAGACTTGGGTAAACAGTACAGGCTGATGTATAGCCCTGCTCCCACCCATGTGTTAAAAGCTCCTGTCTCTGAAGGGCAAGCCAAGATAGTCCTGCAGCAGTCTCTGTAAAGGGGCCGGCAGCTCTGGGAGATTATTAAAAGAGCCTATAGAGGTAACAGAAAGTGAAATTCACTCAGGCACACACATTTCAAAAGGTGCCTCAGATAAGCTTTCAGAAGGGGAAAATAATTGTGTGCTAATTGGTCTGTTGACAGAGACCATCCTGCCTTCAGAACCTGATGTAGCTCAGGTTCGTTAGCACATCCAATTTTCCACAATATCAGACTGTGCAAACCATCATTCCAGTGAGCCTATGCTCCTCCCCCTTCTCTCACTTCCAGATTGCTTCTGCCCTACCTGGGGGGACACCTGCAATGCTAACAGCAGAGGAAAATGGGCTTCTAATGGTGAGCGATGGGGCTAAGCATGGAGAGCACAGCGAAGGTGTGTGTGCTTAAAAAGGCTTCCAAGGGAATAAGGGAATCACAGGCCACAGGCTACTGTAGCTTTACTAAGTCTAAGTCTTTTTTTTTTTTTTTTTTGGATGGGCTCTGAGAAACTCTCCCCTTTGCCTGGGGTCTAGCTGACTTCTGACCAGCTCTGTTCAGTCAGCTCACGGGCTTTTCAATCCCTCCTCACCAAGTATTTCATAATCCTTCTACCAAGGAGGTGAAGGATATAAGGATATAAGAAAGGTCCTATCTCTTCTTCATGGCACTGATCCCTTCTAGAAAATTGCAGGCAGATATATATGCACATAACCTTTTATTCTTTGTACAGATTTCTTGAGGATTGGATAATCCGGTGTCATCCTAACACCATAGCAGAACAGACAGGAATGGCAATCATTATCTTTATCATCATGTAGACTATGAGGCAGTAACTAATTGGTAGAGATGCCAGCCTTATTATCCTGAAGGCATCAAGAGAATTCCTGAGGTGCATTTGCCCTTTGGTTGTTACACACACACACACACACACACACACACACACACACACACACACAGGAGGACGGGGGGAGGGAGGGAGAACACACACACACACACACACACACACACACACACACACACAAGGTCTGGAGGAGGTGGGGAGTGACTATGGTTAGGGCACAAGAAAAGGGCTGAAGGATTTGGAATTATTTCAATGTTTTAGAAACAGGAGTAACAGGAGTAGTCATATTAGCTGTGTAGAGGT